CCCCCCCCCCCCCGCCTCAACATATGTTAACCACATACGTCGGCCTTGTTAAATCATCTTAAATCTACAGTAAACAGTATATTCATATCTGAAATGAATCTACATTTTATAGCAGTTCAGCACTACCCGACCCATCACCACAATCATTGCCATCAGCATCAGCAATTCGGACGTGGCACATTCGGCAATCAGAAAACCGGCATTCATAAACGACCACAAACAAACTATTACACACGAAATGGTTCGTTTAACCGTCTATGATTAATCAGTTACAAACATCCCTGTTTTTTGTAACACTCAGTTTTGGCTAATTTTAGGTCTAGGAGCGACTGCACAGTTCCATCGAGCTCCAGCCGTGCGCGGCACCCCAACCAACCACGTGCAGCACTTCGGCAATACCACATGTGTAATTTTTTCATTCAGATTTTTCAGACTAAATATTCTTGCGTTTGAAAGTACTACCAAAACTAGCTCTCCCGATCAAACATAAACGCGTTTTTCAAACGCTTGTCTTACACAGTTTTTGTACAAATGCCACCAGAAAAACTTTAACTCAGTGTGATGTGGCTTGAGACAGTGTGAGGCACTGAAGGGCATTGAAATGGTATGCGTGTGTATGTGTGTGCTGGAACTAGAGTGGTATGGAGGAGACTGACATGGGTGTTTTAGGATAGCGTATATTTATGTCTGGATGTCATTTCGGGCTCTTAAACTCAGTAACCAGACAAGCTAAGAACTTGAAATCGTTTAAATCTGATCCTAGTACCGGCTATTGCATGGTATATGAAGCAATCCGATAATAAATAAAACAAGTCTGCAGCAGCCAAAATAAATAATTGCTACAATGAGGCTCACAGCAGCACTGAAATGGTTTATTAATCAAGATTTTATCGAAAAAATTTGTTAAAATGACAGCACCGTTCACAGCAACTGAAAAAGTTGCGGTTCTTAGGGGCGAAAAAAAAACAGAAAAATTTGATTGAAAATCTAAGTATTCCAGGAATTTGAACACAGCAGCAATCACTGGCGACGCGCACTGAGCTTGCCTGTGCTATCATGCGTTTTTACAATACTTCGTGCTGTAATGAGATCGCCCGGGAACCAAGTAGATAGAAATATGAGATATATTGGCCCTCAAAGTCTGCGAAGTTAATTGTCTACGCGGTGTTTGGACAGGGAACATTTCGTTGAAATTTCAGCTTTCTTCTTGAGTTATCAATTTTCATGCCAAAAATTTTCACGGGGCCGTACGTGACAACCACGCAAGCCCTGGGCTGAGTTTGGTAAATTTAAGTTGTACATGAGCTGGGAACATTCCTGAAAACTTCAGCCTCTTAGCTCTTCTGGTCTCCGAGTTAGCCACCTTCGTGCCGAAAATTTTCACGGGGCCGTACCCAAGTACCGCAAACAATTAGGAGCTGAATTTGATAATTTTAAGTTGAACTTGTGCTGGGCATATTCCCTGGAAATTTCAGTTCTCCAGCTTTTCTAGTTCACGAGTTAGCGATTTTCGCGCCAGGAATCCTCACGAGGCCATACGCAGGTACCAAGCACACCTGGGAGCTGAATTTGAATTCTCTGAGTTCTATGTAGGCGGGGGACCCAACCTTAAAATTTCAACTTTCTAGCTTTTCTGGTTCCCAAGTTAGCAATTTTCCCGCCAGAACTCTCACTCCTTCATGCGTGGGGCCCAGACTTGCGTGACAGTTGGTACCGCGGTCCTGGAGTGGAACTTGGCTGGGAAAACCACCGGCAAAACTTTGGCGCCAGAGCTTGCTTGGATGCCGAGTTGAAATATCCGGACGGACGCACACACACACACACGCACACACACACATACACACCCATACACACACATACACACACAAACATACACACCGGGATCGTCACAATATGCGTTTTTGCACTTGCATATGAGCAAAAACGCATAAAAAATGGGAAACACCTGATCGGCCGCTTCACTTAGTTGATTACAGTGCAAATATGAAAAAAATAACATCAATTATAACAAGAATATGATGATGCCAAGGACGATGCAAATGAACGCGCAACTACAACCAAAAGATTCAGAAAAAAAGAAAGTGGCCAAGCTTTATTGTGACATTGAAGGTTACGTGAGCGTTTCTATGCCCTTCTGACAATTTATCGAAGCGTGAAATACTATCACACTTTTTATTAAACTTTTAGCTAGATAGGTCGAACTGAAATGACCAGAATCATGAAAGCATTCTAGGATTCTGTTTGCAGAGACATCCAAGTTCTTTTCCAAGAAATCCAAGTTCTTTTGTGTAAATTAACGAGTTTTGAACCAGAGGAGCAATGAGAACGCTTCTGAGCTGTGTGGCATAGCGCCAGGGGAGACTTTCAGACTGAAATTGTTTCCCGTCCTTTCTTTGACTGTCTGATTGAATTAATGTTGGCTATCTCCCCTTTATCAGATTGAAATTTCAGCAGCTTTGGCTGGAGAAATATCGGACGTGGATGACAATGGGGAGGAGCAGGCTGGTCGCAAGATGCCAATTAGCAAAGTGAGATTGTTTAATCCCAGTTGTCCCATCAATTTCATAAGCAATTTTGAAGTCAGGTAAATAAGCACTCTGATGGTTGCAGCCACCGCGAGGTTATGGTGACATGCGTACCAGCGCACTGCTTGGCAAGCGCACGATGTCGCGGGATGAATCTCAACTAAAAAAATCTAGCCAATCGAAAGCAAGGATTACACGTTATCCCACTGCAAAGCCTTTGGCTCTCAATATACTTTACAAGGTTCCTTATTTGGACATGAGCAAATAATGCGTTACTTTCCACGAGGCATACTTTCAAATCTGGATGGCTTGCTGACTCATTAGTCGAAAGAGTCGTACATATTATTGCGAGTTTTGTGAAAAATAGTTTTCTAAAAACAGTACAATGCAGCATTTACACTGCTCCTAACCGCTACTTTTTTCACTGCCCAAGACAAAGGGAGAAATTCCAGTACTCTGGTTGCTTTAGTCCTGGAGTTACAAAATTACCTGCGGCAAATTCCTAGTGCCCGTAAGTGTGATGTGAAGGGCTGATTTCGTACGGGCATGAGAAATTTGCTGCAGATAATTTTGCAACTCCAGAACTAAAGTAACCAGAGTATTGGAATTTCCTGAGAATGGCCGGCAGCTATGGCTGGGTAGGTGCAAACAACTTTCGTTTCTCTCTTACGTCTCGCCTATGTCTTACGCGTGTCTTACGAACACGTGAAGTTTAACATAACTCCGCAGCCAAAGCAGAAAAGTGCTGAAATTTTCTGAGCATCGTCAGCGATCGTATTTATTGCGTATCCTTGTAATAATCTGTAGCGGTGTCGGCCATTGTCAATTCGTTTAGCAAGAATTACCCCTCGGAAAAAAACAGTGCTACTTAGCGACAAACATCTGCGAGGGAAGCCATACAAAAACATATGTTCACATCGGCAAGCCTGAATGCGTCGCTAACTGGATTAAATGCTACTTGTTATAAAAATTATTTGGCATCATCCACTTGCCTTGCCAAAAGGTGGTGGATGTTATGCATTGGTGAGTGCTCCCCGACGGCCAGGTAGTTTTGAAGAGATGGCACAACTACATCGATTAGGCGGTTAGTACTGACTGAAGGAATGCAGCTCGGGACCAAAGAAGCGTCCCATTAAAATTACAGGCTAGGGCCTCCCACGTAAATTGTACAGGTAGCCTTAACGCCGTTTCGATATCAGTCAGGCTCTGCCTTAATTATCTCGAAACTTGCCTATTAGTGTGAAGTTTTGTTGGGGCTCTGATCAGCGCGCGCAGTAATAAGGTCCCACTATGCTACCTACCTCAGATTGTTACTTTTTGTCTCTAATACACATTGCTCAGTCACTTTAATGTCATTCTGGGTCGCTGTTCACTTTTCCATAGATTTCACTGATGCAAGTGTTTTGCAAAACAAGCGTGTGCATTCATAATATTTGGCCGTTAGTGATTCAGTGATTTTTTAAGAATCCCTTTTTCTCGAACAATAGCCACAGCTCTAGCACGTAGGCAAGCGTTGTTATGGAATCAGAAGAAGCGTATTTTGAAAGGCTTAGAACGTTTGCTAATATTCTAGCTTTGGCATGTGCTAATAAATGCATTCATAAATTTTTTTTTATTATGCGTTTTTATGCGTTATTATGCCTAATTAAGCATTATTATGCGTTTTTAGCAAGCGCATAAAATTTTTATGCATTTGCTAAAAAAGAAAACACCGTGCGAAGTTCTTTTCACTGTTCTCTAGTTTGTTTTTGTATCCTTTCAAACGCATGGAGGCATTATCTAATTCCAACTGAACAAAATTTGGAAGATTTCATTTCTGAGAAACAGGAAACCTTGAATAATTTGATCACCTCAATAATTTAAATAAATGGCAAACACACTAATTGCCGGTGCGGAGATACGTTTTTTGCATAGTTCCCCACAGGTTTTTGTCGCTAGCGGCACTGGCTTTTCCAGCGGATGCTTCTAGCTAAAAGAATTCAGACCATCAGGATTTTTAAAAAAATCCCCTTAAAATTTAGCTTTCTAGCTTTCCTGGTTTCCGAGTTAGCAACTTACTCGCAAAAAACTTTCACGGGCCCTTACGTGGGAACCATGCATACTCAGGAGCTGGGTTAGAGTTCACTCAGGCCTATGCAGACGGGGAATATCCTATTCAAATTCCATTCTTCTAGCTTTTCAGGTTCCTTAGTAGCAACTTATTCATAAAGAATTTTCACGAACTCGTACTTGAGTACCACGCACAACCGGAAGCTGGATTTAAGTTCATTAATAACTACATGACAGGGAATGTCCCTCTAAAGTTCCATTCTTCTAGCTTTTTAGGTTCCCGAGTTAACAACTTAACTGTAAAAAATTTCCAAGAGCAAGTGCATGGATATCACGCGGGTAAGAGCGCTTATTTTGGGAATAGGGACCCGTACACATGGATTAAGTTCCCAAAGTTTCAGCCCTGTAGCTATTGTAGGTCTCGAGATGAAAAATCGGTACAGACAGACACACAAACACACACGCACACAGACAACCCCTCGTCAATATGCGTTTTCTGCATTGCATAGATGCAAAAAACGCATAAAAAT